CGGGCTGCTTCCTGGGGTGTGTGTGTGTGTGTGTGGAGTGTGGAGAAAAAAAAGTAGTTAGTAAACAGTTGAATGCCAGTTGAGAGGCGGGCCGAAAGAGCAAAACCCCGCAAACACAATTAAGTGAATAAAACCAGGATACACACACACACTCACATACACTCACACTCACATGTAAAACGCACATGTGTGTGTACCTCATTCGCTCCCCACTTCCCCCCCACACACACACATACATGCTCACCCACACACAACAGGGTGGGTGAGTATGGGTGTTTGACACCCTTTGTTTGACAGAGTAGACAAAAACAAGCTATTTCACACGGAACACGAACAAGGGGAAACAGGTGGAAACTTAGTACGCAAATGAGCCACAAAGACATTAGAGAAAGATTTGTTTCAGTGTCAGAGTTGGTAACAATTGGAATGCATTGGGCAGTGATGTGGTGGAGGCTGACTCCATACTCAGTTGCAAATGTAGATTTGATAGAGCCCAGTAATGGCGGGACCAAAGAGTCAAAGCTCAATCCTAGCAAGCACAACTAGGTGAGTACACACAGGCACGTACCCACTCATGCCCAGGGGTACATGGATGGGTACGAAAGGGCTGTTCTCGCAAAAAGGTAACCTTAGGCCTCATGGCACATATCAATGAAACGTTGACGCAACGTTCCATCCGAGTACGCGCATGTTTGTATTTTACGATTAAATTTCAGCGTTTCCGATTGCATTGTTAAATTGAAATTTCATAGATTTCGATTTATTTTCATTTTGATTTAATTATTTCGTGTGACATTGTATTGAAATTGAGCTGTGTTGTTTACCATACCGTTCATCTCGTAGGTTTGTTTATCTTCTTATTTTTTCATTTCTTTTTTTAACTGTTCTTATTTTTTCGTGATGGGAACATCAGATCATTTGGAAACGCATTGGACAGGGAAGTGGGGAATGGTGGGGAGGACGTGGGGACGAGGGAGGGGGGAATGGTGGGGAGGACGAGGGGACGGGGGAGGGGGGAGACGGGGGAATGGTGGGGGGGAGGACGAGGGGGTGGGGAGGACGACGGGGGAATGGGGGATCTTGGGGAGGACGCAGGGGCGGGAAAATGGGGAACAGCTGGAGGATGAAAGGACAGGGAGGGAGGGGGGGGGGTGGGGAGGACGAGGGGATGGTGGAGAGGACGGGGGGATGGGGGAAGGTTAGGAGTTTAGAGTCGGCAAACCAAACAATCAATCTCTATATCTCCACACACACTGGAACAACAAAAAATATTGTATACCTACAAGCCTTGTGAAATTAAACATATTAGAACGTGCGCTTTCTCTTTTCTTTCTTTTCCATTTCTATACCCGGCCACAGCAGCGTGTGGCCGGGTACAGATAGTAATAACAATAATAATAATAATAATAATAATAATAATAATAATATAATAATAATAATAATAATTATAACAAAAATAATAATAGTAATAATTATTATTATTATTATTATTATTATTATTAATATTATTACTAGGTTTAGAAAGCTATTTTCATATTCTAATTTCATCGTGGATAGACATTTGAGGGTGGTGATGCCATCCCAGGCAGCCTCCTCATCTCCGGGTAGCATCCCCTCATTTCCAGGACAGAGATAAATGAGTTCCATTCTCACCTGCAGTCACAATCACTCCCCCTTCCCCCCCTGCACCACCCAGACGACCACCACCACGACGACGACGACGACGACGGGGTAACGAAGGTAATCTGTCCATCATTATCTCTGACGGATCCATTCCTGATTTTATTACATTGTAGATCAAGTTTCAAGTATTGGAATCTGTGGATGGAATAATAGGAAATGGTGTGATGGTGGGGGATTGGGTGTAGTGTGATGGTGGGGGATTGGGTGTAGTGTGGTGGTGGGGGATTGGGTGTAGTGTGGTGGTGGGGGATTGGGTGTAGTGTGGTGGTGGGGGGACAGGGAGGGTGTAGTGTGGTGGTGGGGGATTGGGTGTAGTGTGGTGGTGGGGGGACAGGGAGGGTGTAGTGTGTGGTGGTGGGGGATTGGGTGTAGTGTGGTGGTGGTGGTGGGGGACAGGGAGGGTGTAGTGTGGTGGTGGTGGGGGGACAGGAAGGGTGTAGTGTGGTGGTGGTGGGGGGGACAGGGAGGGTGTAGTGTGGTGGTGGTGGGGGGACAGGAAGGGTGTAGTGTGGTGGTGGTGGGGGGACAGGGAGGGTGTGTAGTGTGGTGGTGGTGGGGGGACAGGGAGGGTGTAGTGTGGTGGTTGTGGGGGACAGGGTGGGTGTAGTGTGGTGGTGGTGGGGGGGGGACAGGGAGGGTGTAGTGTGGTGGTGGTGGGGGACAGGGAGGGGTGTAGTGTGGTGGTGGGGGGGGACAGGGAGGGTGTAGTGTGGTGGTGGTGGGGGGACAGGGAGGGTGTAGTGTGGTGGTGGTGGGGGGACAGGGAGGGAGTAGTGTGGTGGTGGTGGTGGTGGTGGGGGGGACAGGGAGGGAGTAGTGTGGTGGTGGTGGTGGTGGGGGACAGGGAGGGAGTAGTGTGGTGGTGGTGGTGGTGGGGGGGGACAGGGAGGGTGTAGTGTGGTGGTGGTGGGGGGGACAGGGAGGGTGTAGTGTGGTGGTGGTGGGGGGACAGGAAGGGTGTAGTGTGGTGGTGGTGGGGGGACAGGAAGGGTGTAGTGTGGTGGTGGTGGGGGGACAGGAAGGGTGTAGTGTGGTGGTGGTGGTGGTGGGGGACAGGGAGGGTGTAGTGTGGTGGTGGTGGGGTGGGGGACAGGGAGGGTGTAGTGTGGTGGTGGTGGGGGGGGACAGGGAGGGTGTAGTGTGGTGGTGGTGGTGGTGGTGGTGGGGGACAGGGAGGGTGTAGTGTGGTGGTGGGACTGAGATTGATTGACAGCATATTACCCTCCCCCCCCCCCCGCCAGCACTGGACCAACTAGGTAATTACCCATCAATATAAACACAATACATTACAGAAATACCTATACGATAAAATACGAAAATACCGAAATCTACAAAAAAATAATAACGTTAAAAATAGTATTGGAATATGAATTAAAATATTAATTACCAAGCCAATTACGAACTGTAATATCTGCTTCACTGGGAAGGTAATATCGCCCAGACACTGACGTCTAATTTGTAACGGTTTAGCCCCTTTATAAGCGTACGAATGTGCACGGAGCAACGCAAGATGTCGTTATCTTGAGGTTATCTTGAGACGATTTTGGGGCTTTTTAGTGTCCCCGCGGCCCGGTCCTCGACCAGGCCTCCACCCCCAGGAAGCCCGTGACAGCTGACTAACACCCAGGTACCTATTTTACTGCTAGGTAACAGGGGCATAGGGTGAAAGAAACTCTGCCCATTGTTTCTCGCTGGCGCCTGGGATCGAACCCAGGACCACAGGATCACAAGCCCAGTGTGCTGTCCGCTCGGCCGACCGGCTCCCTCGGTCCCTCGGCCCTCCCTCGGTCCACGACTCGACCGGTCGTGGTTGGTGGTACTTAAGGATGCCTGAGAACTAATACTAAAGACTTGTTGGCCCCTACGAGGCGCCTCCTATATATGGCATTAGTAATTATATATAATTCATAACTATTAATTATATCTACCAAAACTCATTCATACTGATGTCTTACCTGCGCTTGAAACAATCCTGTGATCCTTCGTCTATTATGTTAATTTGTTGATAATTTAACAACACTGTTTCCGAACCAGTATTTACGCAGGTCTTTCCTAAAAGTAAACTTATCCAATTTATATCCATTGTTTAGTGTTCTGTTTTGTGTTTATATATATATATTTTAAGACTTAAATCCCCAATTGGTATGACCGCTCATCAATTTATATAGTCCATTCTTCGTCTCTAGAGAATGTAAGTTAAGCTGTTTAATCTCTCTCTTCAAAGGAAGGTTTGTAATTCCTGGGATTAGCTTCGTCATTCTTCTCTGGACGCGTTCAAGTGAATTAATGTCCTCTTACCTGAGATACGGAGACCAGCACCCAACTGCATAGTCTAAATGGGCTCTGACAGGACACGATAATGCTGGAGGCGTCTTGTTGAAAATATTCCCAGAAATAAATGCCGCGAATTCCGTACATTTATGTATTGGATTTTTTGCCATAAGATCCCAGGGAGGAATCTTGCCATAAGATCCCAGGGAGGAATCTTGCCATAAGATCCCAGGGAGGAATCTTGCCATAAGATCCCAGGGAGGAATCTTGCCATAAGATCCCAGGGAGGAATCTTGCCATAAGATCCCAGGGGGGCAAGATCCTCCTGACATCTTATGATAAGATTCCTCCCGGGGATCTTATGGCAAGATCCCCGCTAATCACGACTCCTGAATCTTTCTGGCGTTGACACTGAGCCACGTAGACGATACTGAAGCATCTCAGTGTGGACGCCGGTGTCGACAGCTTCCAAGGTAAGGCTGGCAAGACTTGAAAGTATTTGCGTGTAAGTTTACCCAGTAGTAACCCCATGTATAAGGTTGTCCAGGGAGTTACAGAGTGGGGAATGGCAGAGATGATAAAGGAATGGAGAGATGCAGTGTGGGGGGAGAGGAGACGGGATAGGGAGGTGCAGTATGAAGGAAGAGGAGACGGGATAGAGAGATGCAGTATGAGGGAAGAGGAGACGGGATAGGGAGGTGCAGTGTGGGGTAGGAGAGGCGGGGAGGAATGGGGAGGTGCCATACCGTTGTCCAGAAGATGTTGATGTTGGAGTGTGTGTGGTGGGGTGGGGGGAGGGGCTGTACAGAGAGTAGTGAGAGTAGCCCAACACACTAAGTCACTATAAGCTAACAGGCGTGAGATGACCACAAGTGACTATAAATGCTACAGGTGCTCTCTGCAACCCGTCCTCAGGCTAGGCTCGTCCATAGACGCATACACCAATTTTAACCCCCTGAGCATTCAAAGCTTATATTTTTGCAAATATAAGGTAATATTATTATATACGAGAACATGTTGAATATTTAGGCCTAGGTTAGGTTGTGTTAGTCATTAATGGTATTTGCAGGAGGCGGGCGGGAGGGCGTGGCGGCCTCCAGGCGGTCACTGCAAACTGTACACCAAAATTGTAATTAATTTTGTCAATAAAGATGTTCATAATAATAACTCTCCCTCACTGACTGTGCCTCCGACTGCTCTGGTCACTGAGGAGGACGGTGTCTCCCCATCACTCTCCTCCCTCCCTTCCTCTTCCTTCTATCATCCCTTCCCTCACGCTCTCCTCCACTCCTGATCTTCTACTTTTCATCTCTTCATTTCCCTCCTCACTCTCCAAAGGGTCTCTACCTGCCGCCGTTTTCTTAAGAAACTTTAAGCAATGTTCTTTTTCCCTGTTCTCCGAGGAATGGCCTACGATCCATCTCTTTGTAGTCAAAAAATGTAATTAATTCCCCCCATGGAAAGTTTAAACCTTCTTTTTTCTTCGGTGATTTTGTCCTCATCAGTGTCTCCTGCCTCTCTTCTAATCTATATTTATCAAGTTAATTATAATTGTTGTTCCTATGTCAAGGCTACAGGTCACATTTTCTAGAACCCCATATATATATATATATATATATATATATATATATATATATATATATATATATATATATATATATATATATATATATATATATATCGTCCCAGGTGTTTGATCTACCACAAAAAATTACCTGAGTTGACCTAAGACTCGCTAACACCGGGTTGAATATTCTATCCCTGCTTCATTCCCCACTCGCTGCCCCGAGGCTTCCTGGCTCCCGGCTGCGACTCCACGCCACGCGATGTGAATCCATCAACCGGAGTCTTATCCTCTGAAAAAAGGTCCAGGCCGCTCTCCCTCTCTAAGCTCCGCCCCGTCCGCCGCCTGGAGGTATCCTCCCCCCCTCACATAAATCTCTTTTCCCCACGCACCATTCCACACAAGCTTATATGAGACGGAAAATGTAGATTCTGTGTAGTGCTGAGAGCGCGAGAGAGAGAGCGAGAGAGAGAGAGAGAGAGAGAGAGAGAGAGAGAGAGAGAGAGAGAGAGAGAGAGAGAGAGAGAGAGAGAGAGAGAGAGAGAGAGACTGTGTGTGTGTGGGGGAGGGGGGCAGGTACCCCCCCCTCCCACATTTGTTCTTCCTCTTATTCTTTATTATCCTTTTTATAGTTCTTTATTTTATTGTTAGATTTTGTTTATAATTTCTTTATATTAAGTGTTCAAGATCTTTCATTATAAAATTATGTAAAACATTTTTGTTTGCGTAATTCATGGAACTTGACATTGATTTGTATAGGAGACCACCACGTGGTAATGTTTACCACCACTGGAGACCACTACGTGGTAATGTTTACCACCACTGGAGACCACCACGTGGTAATGTTTACCACCACTGGAGACCACCACGTGGTAATGTTTACCACCACTGGAGACCACCACGTGGTAATGTTTACCACCACTGGAGACCACCACGTGGTAATGTTTACCACCACTGGAGACCACCACGTGGTAATGTTTACCACCACTGGAGACCACCACGTGGTAATGTTTACCACCACTGGAGACCACCACGTGGTAATGTTTACCACCACTGGAGACCACCACGTGGTAATGTTTACCACCACTGGAGACCACTACGTGGTACTGTTTACCACCACTGGAGACCACTACGTGGTACTGTTTACCACCACTGGAGACCACTACGTGGTACTGTTTACCACCACTGGAGACCACTACGTGGTACTGTTTACCACCACTGGAGACCACCACGTGGTACTGTTTACCACCACTGGAGACCACTACGTGGTACTGTTTACCACCACTGGAGACCACCACGTGGTAATGTTTACCACCACTGGAGACCACCACGTGGTAATGTTTACCAACACTGGAGACCACCACGTGGTAATGTTTACCACCACTGGAGACCACCACGTGGTAATGTTTACCACCACTGGAGACCACCACGTGGTAATGTTTACCAACACTGGAGACCACCACGTGGTAATGTTTACCAACACTGGAGACCACCACGTGGTAATGTTTACCAACACTGGAGACCACCACGTGGTAATGTTTACCACCACTGGAGACCACCACGTGGTAATGTTTACCACCACTGGAGACCACCACGTGGTAATGTTTACCATCACTGGAGACCACCACGTGGTAATGTTTACCACCACTGGAGACCACCACGTGGTAATGTTTACCAACACTGGAGACCACCACGTGGTAATGTTTACCAACACTGGAGACCACCACGTGGTAATGTTTACCACCACTGGAGACCACCACGTGGTAATGTTTACCAACACTGGAGACCACCACGTGGTAATGTTTACCAACACTGGAGACCACCACTTGGTAATGTTTACCAACACTGGAGACCACCACGTGGTAATGTTTACCAACACTGGAGACCACCACGTGGTAATGTTTACCAACACTGGAGACCACCACGTGGTAATGTTTACCAACACTGGAGACCACCACGTGGTAATGTTTACCAACACTGGAGACCACCACGTGGTAATGTTTACCAACACTGGAGACCACCACGTGGTAATGTTTACCAACACTGGAGACCACCACGTGGTAATGTTTACCAACACTGGAGACCACCACGTGGTAATGTTTACCAACACTGGAGACCACCACGTGGTAATGTTTACCAACACTGGAGACCACCACGTGGTAATGTTTACCAACACTGGAGACCACCACGTGGTAATGTTTACCAACACTGGAGACCACCACGTGGTAATGTTTACCAACACTGGAGACTATTACAAATGTTCACACACGAACGTAATTACTGTATACAAGGATATATACCTTTTGTTGTATTGTATTTACATATGTTGTTGTTTTTATATCTATTGTTGTATTGTCATCCCGCACCTTATATAATTCTGAACTGATGCTGAATCCCCCATGGTATTATAGCCCCCCCCCCTGCTGTTGACAACCCCATGGTGTCGTACCCACCTGATGGCGACTATTGGATCAGTTTTTCTGCCACAAACGCCACAGAAAACATGAAGCGTTTTTGAGAGAAATTAAAAACCGATTAATTAAATCGCAGAATTTTAGAGCGATTATCAGAAGGGGGAGAAGGGAGGAGAGGGGGGGGAGGGGGAGGGGCAGCAGCTGGAGCAGCAGCAGCAGCAGGAGTAAGGGAAGGAAACTATCAGGAGAAAGAGGGAGGAGGTGCGGCTGGAAGACGTAGAAGCGTCTGGGGTGGAAGACAAAGTGCGTCGAACAATGGCGTAGAAGACAAAGTGTGACAGGAGGCAGTCTTTCCTTCCTCTCTACTGTACCCCGGTCCCTCGCACCCCCCCCTCACCCTGCACCCCATCATTCCCCATCCTCCTCCCCCTCACCCCGCACATCATCATCCCCCCCTGCCTACTCATCCCCACCCCCCGTCTCCCGCCTCCTCATTTCCCTCCCCTGGCTCATTTCCCTGCCCCATCACTGGAGGGGCAGGCCGAGCGGACAGCACGCTGGACTTGTGATCCTGTGGTCCCGGGTTCGATCCCAGGCGCCGGCGAGAAACAATGGACAGAGTTTCTTTCACTCTATGCCCCTGTTACCAGTAAAATAGGTACCTGGGTATTAGTCAGCTGTCACGGGCTGCTTTCTGGGGGTGGAGGCCTGGTCGAGGACCGGGCCGCGGGGACATTAAAAAAAAAAACGAAATCATCTCAAGATAACCTCAAGATAACCCCCCCTGCCTATTAGATCTCTCGACCACTTCACTAATGTTAAATATGAACCCGTCCCAATTAATGATCAGTCAACCAATTAATCCACGTAAGGTCTGGTAAATACCGCCCAGTAAGGTAGTGAAGACATTACTGTGGGAGTTACCAGTGTGCAGCATCACCCAGGGTGGTCAGGGTACGGGTGACGACGTGTACCAGTGGCGTACACCGGGGCTCTGTAGGAGGTGGGGGGGGGGGAGAGATGGACCGCACGTGCAGCTGCTATACACACAGCTGCACGTGCTCTCGTGCACTCAGCAGTGAAGCGCGTCAGTGACTGGGCAAGTACAACTCAGTTCCAACTTCCAGCCATATACCTCGTCACTGAATATTTAAAAGACAAAAGCAGTGGAATTATGGCACTAAGAGCACATAGTAGTAACACCTAGAAAATAGTCACATTAAATTCCTCTGAATTCTATCGCATGTTGGCATCTCAAGGAATGCTACTGTTGACAGGGTTGCAAAAGCAACCTGAAGCAACAAACAGTGGAAATTAATATTGGTGTTCAATGACAACGACAGTCAGTCTACTGAAACGTGGCTGATAACAATCTTATATACCAGTCCTCTGCCCCACCACACTGCTCGACCCCATCTGTCGACCAGTTCCCTACCACCTTTACTGCAGCCCCATCACACTGCTCCATCTGTAGCGTAATTAAATACAATTTTCAAATACCTGTCCCCACAATTACGGCTCACCATAGCCCGTGCTACTTGGAACTTTGTTCCAGGTAGCGAATCTTTAACAACAACAACAACACTGCTCCATGTCTTCCCTCAACCCAACACTAAAATATTGATTTCGAACGTATAATTTCACGGTGAAGAACTGGCAGAAGTTTTTTTTTCAGCAAAGTTACGAGGCAGAGCATATGTGACTCTGAGGTCCTTGTCTGTGGTCCTGATGCTCGGCCACTTTAGCCTGTGGTCCTGAGATTCCCTTCCTCTGGTCAGTGCCCGTGATGCTCGGCCACTAGTCTGGGGCCCTGAGGCTCTCCCCTTTGGTCTGTGGCCCTGACGCAATATTGTGGATCACAAACATGAAATTTTACTTCGAGATACTGGAAGTTCTTTGATCTTATTCATAAGAGAAAAAATGTGGGGCTACCATACTTGGCAAAAGTTGGAGAAGTCTCACAGGAGTCTATATTATTTTGGTTCGAGCACGTGCCTCTGAGAGTGGTAGTATGGTTTGGAAGATTAGATAAGATAAAGTGAATTAATAGATTCACTGAGACTCGAAGGCTTTGAGTTAAGTCAGTGAGGTAGACGACTAATGTTTGGACACCTGAGGCAGACCTGAGGGCTAGGTCAAGGCCATGAGGGGTAGAATTAAGGCCCCTGAAGGTTGGGTCAAGGCTCCGAAGGTTGGGTCATTGCCTTAACGGCTGAGATGGACCTGCAGGGTCTATATATATGTATATGTCGTACCTAGTAGCCAGAACTCACTTCTCAGCCTACTATGCAAGGCCCGATTTGCCTAATAAGCCAAGTTTTCCTAAATTAATATATTTTATATATTTTTTTTCTTATGAAATGATAAAGCTTCCCATTTCATTATGTATGAGGTCAATTTTTTTTTATTGGAGTTAAAATTAACGTAGATATATGACCGAACCTAACCAACCCTACCTAACCTAATCTAACCTATCTTTATAGGTAAGGTTAGGTTAGGTAGCCAAAAAAAAGCTAGGTTAGGTTAGGTTAGGTAGGTTAGGTAGACGAAAAAACATTAATTCATGAAAACTTGGCTTATTAGGCAAATCGGGCCTTGCATAGTAGGCTGAGAAGTGAGTTCTGGCTACTAGGTACGACATTATATATATATATATATATATATATATATATATATATATATATATATATATATATATATATATATATATATATATATATATATATATATATATAATCTATTCGGTAAGATGTGGCCATATGCTAACAGAGGCACATTTCAGAAATAGGACACATAAGGTGATGGCATGCAGTACCCTCTTGCCCCCCCCCCCTCTCGTAGCCTACATGTGGTTCGGTTCATACACAAAAATTGTATATATATAGGCATATTATTTGTTGTTAGAAGTAAAAAGAAATTATTGGTGGCGCTTGAGCGTTAAGCTCATACTGTCACAGAACAAGAGAGACAATGGATGTGGTGGAACGGCAAGCACTTCGCTCGTTGACAAGGCACACACACACAGCAACCAACAACAATCTAGTAACTCTAGTCTATCAAGAAAGGCTTAGTATAGGAACTTACTTAGAAACCTTTTGCTGACGGCGGCTTGTGGTAGGTTGGTGTTGTCCCAGGACTCCGTCAGGTACTGATCATCCTGCAGGAGGTCATCATCGTCCAGGCCGTCGTCGACACCGTAGTCACGCTTATAGGCTCGGTAAATGGGCAAGTGGCCGTTTCTGGCGAGGGACTGAATGTTTCTCTTGACCTGTAGGAAGGTCTCGCTGACGTCCTCGTCGGGAGAACGTGACTTTCTTATACTGTCCAGCAAGGCAAGGATTTTACTGTTACCATTGATGAGGTTCTGCCTCTGACGCTTGCGCAAGAGCCCTTTCTGGATTTCCAGTCGGATGAGACGTTCCAGGTAGGCGGCGTTGTCTTCTGGAGTGTTGGGGGCATCGCGGCGATTCTGTCTGGACCTGGAGTAAGGGTACGGCATGTTGTTACTTTTAGCTAAGGCTCCAATGTAGCGCTTTCGTCTCGGGTGGTCTGGTGCATTGTTATTGATTATCTTGTCGTCTAGAATCGAGCTAAGATGGCGCTTGTTTGTTTGTCTGCCATCTGGCGCGAGGCTAGATTGTGTGTTTTGCAGCAATGAGCCAAGATGACGTTTGTCAGCTGACTGAGAATTTGGAACGAAGCTCGTTTGCTTTTGTTGCATCAGAGAACCAATATGCCGCTTTTCTTCAAGGCCTGATTGTCTGGATTTTAGTAGTGAGGCATAATGGCGTTTATCTGTTGACTGGTCGTCTCTTCCGAAGCCTGATTGTCTGCTGTTTAAGAGAGACGCAAAGTAGCGTTTGTCTGTTGACTGGTCGTATGGTCTAAAGCTTGATTGTCTGTTCCTTAAGAGTGACGCAAAGTAGCGTTTGCCTGTTGACTGGTCGTATGGTCTAAAGCTTGATTGTCTGTTCTTTAAGAGTGACGCAAAGTAGCGTTTCTCCGCTGATTTGGCATCTGGTCCAAAACTTGATTGTCTGTTCTTTAAGAGTGACGCAAAGTAGCGTTTCTCTGCTGATTTGGCATCTGGTCCGAAGCCAAATTGTCTGTTTCTCAGGAGCGAAGCAAAGTACCTTTTGTCAACGTCGAAGGAACCGACAGAGCCCGCGACGCTGCCATCATGAATCTCGTCTGAGTCGTTGATGGAGTAACCAACGTCGTCATCAACCGAGTTGTTCAGGAAGCCGGACGACTTCTTCAGCAGGGCTGCGTAGTGTCTCGTGTCAATATTATCTTCCTCCAGAGGATCCGCTGAGTATTGGTGTTTCAATAACGACGAGATGTGCGTTTGTTCTTGGGACTCCGGGACCTCACTTTTCCCTACTTCGTTCCGGAGGGCCGAGAGCGTTTTCTCCTCCATGGCGGGTTCCTCTGAAGGATCACTGGACATATCTTCGGATTTTTTGTTAAGTAGGGACGCAAAGTGTCGTTTTTCGTTGTCAAACGTATCCAAAGAATCGTCGTTTCTTCTTGGTTTGTAAAGTGATCCTAAATGTCTTTTTTCTTCATCAATTGTATCGAAATATTCGTCGTTCCTCCTTGGTTTGTAAAGTGATCCTAAATGTCGTTTTTCCTCGTCAAACGTAGCCAAAGAATCCTCGTTTCTTCTAGGTTTGAAAAGTGATCCCAAATGTCGTTTTTCTTCGTCAAACATATTCACTGAATCGTCGTTTCGTCTTGGTTTGAAAAGTGATCCCAAATGTCGTTTTTCTTCGTCAAACATATTCGCTGAATCGTCGTTTCGTCTTGGTTTGTAAAGTGATCCCAAATGTCGTTTTTCTTCATCAAAGTCATTAATTGAATCGTCGTTTCTCCTTGGCTTGTAAAGTGACGCCAAATGTCGTTTTTCTTCATCAAATTCATTCATTGAATCGTCGTTTCTCCTTGGCTTGTAAAGTGATCCCAAATGTCGTTTTTCTTCGTCAAACCTATCCAAAGAATCATCGTTTCTTCTTGGTTTGTAAAGTGACGCCAAATGTCGTTTTTCTTCATCGAACGTTTCCAAAGAATCGTCGTTTCTTCTTGGCTTGTAAAGTGATGCCAAATGTCGTTTTTCTTCATCGAACATCTCCAAAGATTCGTCGTTTCTTCTTGGTTTGTAAAGTGACGCCAAATGTCGTTTTTCTTCGTTGAATTCATTCATTGAATCGTCGCTTCTTCTTGGCTTGTAAAGTGATGCCAAATGTCGTTTTTCTTCATCAAATTCGTTCATTGAATCGTCGTTTCTCCTTGGCTTGTAAAGTGACGCCAAATGTCGTTTTTCTTCATCAAATTCGTTCATTGAATCGTCGTTTCTCCTTGGCTTGTAAAGTGACGCCAAATGTCGTTTTTCTTCATCAAATTCATTCATTGAATCGTCGTTTCTCCTTGGCTTGTAAAGTGACGCCAAATGTCGTTTTTCTTCGTCAAACCTATCCAAAGAATCATCGTTTCTTCTTGGCTTGTAAAGTGATGCCAAATGTCGTTTTTCTTCATCGAACATCTCCAAAGAATCGTCGTTTCTTCTTGGCTTGTAAAGTGATGCCAAATGTCGTTTTTCTTCATCGAACATCTCCAAAGATTCGTCGTTTCTTCTAGGTTTGTAAAGTGACGCCAAATGTCGTTTTTCTTCGTTGAATTCATTCATTGAATCGTCGTTTCTCCTTGGCTTGTAAAGTGACGCCAAATGTCGTTTTTCTTCATCAAATTCGTTCATTGAATCGTCGTTTCTCCTTGGCTTGTAAAGTGACGCCAAATGTCGTTTTTCTTCATCAAATTCATTCATTGAATCGTCGTTTCTCCTTGGCTTGTAAAGTGACGCCAAATGTCGTTTTTCTTCATCAAATTCATTCATTGAATCGTCGTTTCTCCTTGGCTTGTAAAGTGACGCCAAATGTCGTTTTTCTTCATCGAACGTTTCCAAAGAATCGTCGTTTCTTCTTGGTTTGTAAAGTGACGCCAAATGTCGTTTTTCTTCGTTGAATTCATTCATTGAATCGTCGTTTCTTCTTGGCTTGTAAAGTGATGCCAAATGTCGTTTTTCTTCATCAAACATCTCCAAAGAATCGTCGTTTCTCCTTGGCTTGTATAGTGATGCCAAATGTCGTTTTTCTTCATCAAAATTATCAAAAGAATCATCGTTTCTTTTTGGTTTGTAAAGTGATCCCAAATGTCGTTTTTCTTCATCAAAATTATCAAAAGAATCGTCGTTTCTTCTTGGCTTGTAAAGTGATCCCAAATGTCTTTTTTCTTCCTCTAACATATTAATTGAATAGTCGCTTCTTCTTGGTTTGTACAGTGATCCCAGATGTCGTTTTTCTTCGTCAAACATGTCCAAAGAAATGTCGTTTCTCTTAGGTTTGTATAGTGATGAGAGATGTCGTTTCTCTTCGTTGAAAACATCGAGGTAATCTTGGTTCCTTGTGTTCTTAAACAGAGATGCTAAATATCGTTTTTTTTCGTCAAGTAAATCGTCGTGTTGCATTCTCGTATAAAGAGAGGCCAAGTGTCGTTTTTCTTCATTCAGTGTATCCAAAAAATTATCGTTTCTTGGCTGGAAGAGAGAGGACAAGTGGCGCTTATCTTCACCCAGCGACTCTGATTGTTCTTCATTTGTTTTCTCATCTTCGAGTGTGTTGCCTGAGCTTCTTAGCCGCTCGAGTAGTGACGTCAGCGACCGCTTGTCTACGCCGCTTCCAAGGTCTGTATTTTTGGCCAGTGAGGAGTAAAAGCTGTTGTGCTGGTTTTGACCATCAGGGAGGCTGCTGAAGCGCTGGGCTTTGAGCAGGGAGGCGAGGTACCGCTTGTCTTGGCTGGGCATGCCAGCGAGGAACACTGGGCGAGGCAGGCTGTTGGACTTCAGAAGAGAGGCATAAAACCGTTTGTTGACATCATTGTCTCTGAAGGAGTCGAGAGTCGAGTCAAAATATCTCTTCTCCTGGAGACTGTGTCTGGGGAAATTATTTGCTCTTGCAATGCTCGATATGTGTCGTTTGTCGACATCAGAATGTAGTGATACATTTTCGCTCTGGCTGCTGGTGTTGCTAGGGTGAGATACTTTGGCGTCGAGGGATGTGTCGTGGTCATCCTCCTTGGAAGGAGCTGCGACCGACAGTCGTTCGCTGGTTACAGAACCATCAGCGTCCACGTCCTTCTTAATTCTTGCATCTGGTAAGTTACCGTCCCGAGCGAGACTGGCAATGTTGCGCTTGTCTTGCAAATTTAGCTCCGTAGTAGAAACGTCAGTCGAAGGTGTGGTCAAACTCTCCGACTTCTTCACGTTCTTGGGCATGTTATTTGTCGCCGCCAGAGCCGCCAGGTTCCTCTTGCCGATGGGCATGGTGCTGTGGGTGCTCTGGGTGGACGGCAGCGGCCGACTCTTTTGTCGCAGCTTGGCCTTCTGCAGTAGCTTCATCTTGAAGTTCCGGTCGAGCGGCAGGTTCCCGGTGGAGAAGCCCCACCCAGCGTGGGCGGAGCCGTCTGCCATCCATGGGGCGTGGGTGGGGTCACCTGCCACTAGAGCACCTCTCGTCTCCACCCCCAGGAAGCGCTTCTCTCTGCCCTCTCTTGCGTCATCATGTGCCTCGCCTGCGTCACTAGTAGAGGTGTCGGTGGCGGAGGAGGTCAGGTCACCAACACTCGCCCCCTGCAACAACACGGAACACCGGTCATTATATTATCAAGCAGCGAACATCCCTTACATGACACATACTGGTGTATATCCCTTACATGACACATGACACATACTGGCACATACTGGTGTACATCCCTTACATGACACATACTGGCCACATACTGAGTGCAACTTGTGTAACGGCTCTAATATTACTAGTACTGTGTGTGCTTGTTGGCTTGGGAGGCGGCTAGTTTATTGTGCACCCCATACTCCTCCCGTGAGCGGTAGTTTATTGTGCACCCCATACTCCTCCCGTGAGCGGTAGTTTATTGTGCACCCCATACTCCTCCCGTGAGCGGTAGTTTATTGTGCACCCCATACTCGTCCTGTGAGCGGTAGCGTAAAAAAGATAACACAGAACACATATTCTTAATCAGACCTCAAATGTGATTTTACATAAGAATGTTCCTCTAATGTGTAGCCCCTATAATAATAGTGTCAGTTACAAAAATAATCATTACAGTATCTATGTTTACATGAATAAATATATACATGTATGGTAGGTTTTATGCTAATAATACATGAATAGGAAAACATGAAACATTAGTTTATGGGCACATTAGGGGATGATTGAGGCAGCAGAGCTGTGTTAATATTTTCAGTGCTCACACTACACAGGTGAGAGGACTGTATGCACCAGGAGCAACACCTGGATACGGTGCGCTTAGTTCAGGTACTTTATCATTTGTGAGAAGATGCAGCGTGAGTGTAGATTTATCACTAAATGACTCAATTTTGTCAGAGTGTAAGATGTAATGCTCAAGTGTGTGTTCCTGTCTTTGTCCATACTTGACTTCATCTAGATCCCCGTACAGGACTGACCCCTGCGGGACTACACTCGTAACGTCTCACCAATCTGAGACCTCACCCCTCACAGTGACTCAGTGTCTTCTGTTGCTTAGGTACTCCCTTATCCAGTGGAGTGCCTTCCCTTTCACTCCAGCCTGCATCTCCAGCTTTTTCACTAGCCTCGTGTGTGGTACTGTGTCAAAGGCTTTCAGCCAATCCAAAAATATGCAGTCTGCCCATCCCTCTCTTTCTTGCCTGATTTTTGTTGCCTGGTCGTAGAATTCAATTAACCTTGTGAGGCAGGACTTGCCATCCCTGAACCCATGTTGATGCTGTGTTACAAAGTCCCTTCGCTCCAGGTGTTTCACTAGCTTGATGCTCCACAAGCGTTGAGCTGCTTGTGGAGGGTTCCCCACTCCCCTCTGGGATTGTAGGGCTCGGGGATGTGGTTCCCTTGTGTGTGTGTGTGTGTGTGTGTGTGTGTGTGTGTGTGTGTGTGTGTGTGTGTGTGTGTGTGTGTGCGTGTGTGTGTGTGTGTGCTCCACTTCACCAACTAGGCACACATGCGTCCTCTCTCATATCCCCCAAGACTGACATTCAAATCCTCAGAATTCCTCCGAGGTAATACATTTTCCTGCCAGAATTACCTGGTGTATTGGCTTATAAATTCCCTCACGTCATATTCTACATTTTTTAGGAATTTCTTTTTCGATATTACATTTTTAATGCATCATTTAAATGGAGATGATTTGAGATGGTGAAGCCCAAGTTGTATATTAATTTTCAATATTTTTTCGTGTGGTGCTGCGTAGTATTGTTGTATAGTCTTATATTTTGTCGGTTTTACAGTACGCACCAGAGGCAGCCAAGATGGCAGCTCCCTTCCTTGGCACTGCCAGCCACTGTGAGGTAATGTGAGGCACTGTCTTCGTGGTGTCTCGCGAGACAGATGAGTCACAGGAGACATGATTACCCCATACAAAATACTCAAGGTAAGGAAAGATAATTATGAGGAATGGGTATATAAAATATATTCTATATAATAGAAGAGAATATACAGAGAGAGAGAGAGAGAGAGAGAGAGAGAGAGAGAGAGAGAGAGAGAGAGAGAGAGAGAGAGAGAGAGAGAGAGAGAGAGAGAGAGAGAGAGAGAGAGAAAGTGTGACAACACTCAGCGTGTTGTCACTCAGGTGCCAGTCATGTCACGTCACTAGCGTAAATAGTCACTAATTAGTGAACTCAACATGATGAGTGGATAGTTCTCAGTCCCCATGGTATAGGTCCTGTAGCAGCCACCATGGTATAGGTCCTGTAGCAGCCACCATGGTATAGGTCCTGTAGCAGCCACCATGGTATAGGTCCTGTAGCAGCCACCATGGTATAGGTCCTGTAGCAGCCACCATGGTATAGGTCCTGTAGCAGCCACCATGGTATAGGTCCTGTAGCAGCCACCATGGTATAGGTCCTGTAGCAGCCACCATGGTATAGGTCCTGTAGCAGCCACCATGGTATAGGTCCTGTAGCAGCCACCATGGTATAGGTCCTGTAGCAGCCACCATGGTATAGGTCCTGTAGCAGCCACCATGGTATAGGTCCTGTAGCAGCCACCATGGTATAGGTCCTGTAGCAGCCACCATGGTATAGGTCCTGTAGCAGCCACCATGGTATAGGTCCTGTAGCAGCCACCATGGTATAGGTCCTGTAGCAGCCACCATGGTGTAGGTCCTGTAGCAGCCACCATGGTATAGGTCCTGTAGCAGCCACCATGGTATAGGTCCTGTAGCAGCCACCATGGTGTAGGTCCTGTAGCAGCAACCATGGTATAGGTCCTGTAGCAGCCACCATGGTATAGGTCCTGTAGCAGCCACCATGGTGTAGGTCCTGTAGCAGCACCATGGTATAGGTCCTGTAGCAGCCACCATGGTATAGGTCCTGTAGCAGCCACCATGGTATAGGTCCTGTAGCAGCCACCATGGTGTAGGTCCTGTAGCAGCCACCATGGTGTAGGTCCTGTAGCAGCCACCATGGTATAGGTCCTGTAGCAGCCACCATGGTATAGGTCCTGTAGCAGCCACCATGGTGTAGGTCCTGTAGCAGCCACCATGGTGAAGGTCCTGTAGCAGCCACCATGGTATAGGTCCTGTAGCAGCCACCATGGTATAGGTCCTGTAGCAGCCACCATGGTGTAGGTCCTGTAGCAGCCACCATGGTATAGGTCCTGTAGCAGCCACCATGGTATAGGTCCTGTAGCAGCCACCATGGTATAGGTCCTGTAGCAGCCACCATGGTATAGGTCCTGTAGCAGCCACCATGGTGTAGGTCCTGAAATCCTAATCCTTTAAGAATTGAAATCCTTTATTTCTAGGAAAACACCTGATCTTTAAGGAGTGACGTCAGGAGGGTGACTGAGGGATGACGATAACTCACGATAATAAAGACACCATAAACACCCGTAAGTCGCCAGCAAGTGACGTCATACAAACACACACTGAAGAATGAGCCAAACATTCAAAAGAAAGTTGGATATTAGCTTCCATGCCGTGAAATTTCTAACAATGAAAAATGTTAATATATATATATATATATATATATATATATATATATATATATATATATATATATATATATATATATATATATATATATATATATATATATATATATATATATATATATATATATATATATATATATAAAAGGCTTATAAAAGATAGGACGTAAATATTGTTGTGCCTACGGGAGCTTGTGGCGGGGGCACGTGGGGCCCGGAGCTGGTGGCGGGGGCACGTGGGGCCCGGAGCTGGTGGCGGGGGCATGCGGGGCCTGGAGCTGGTGGCGGGGGCACGCGGGCCTGGAGCTGGTGGCGGGGGCACGCGGGCCTGGAGCTGGTGGCGGGCATAATCCCGCCCGTCACCCGCCAGCAACTTGCCCAGGCTATATATTTTTTGTGCTAAATCTCTCCAGAATATTAGGAGTATGGTGGCGGTGTGAGGAGTCTGGGAGGGATGGGAGAGGACAGAGGTGGTGGACTGGGAGAGATGGGAGAGGACAGAGGTGGTGGTGGTCTGGCAGGGATGGTAGAGGAGAGGGATTAGCGCGGGAAGAAAGGAGAGTCGCTATATTGCCAACTTTCCTTTGTTTCAGGCGCCTTGCTTCTGTCCTGCGACGCCTGGCGACCTGCTCCTCTCTCTCTCCTCTTCCTGTCCTTCCCTCCCTTTCTCCTCTCCTCCCCGCTTCCTTCACTCTCCACCATATATAATATATCCCAGTTTTCCTCAGATACGATGAAGCCGATGTGTTCCCTGTTGTCCTGAACACTATCTGAGGGGATTGAATTGAAATTGAAATTGAAATAAGTTTATTGAGGTAAAATACACACAAAGGGATGAGGTAGCTCAAGCTATTCTCACCCCGTTATCTGAGGGGATCTTAAGGCTATTCTAGGGCTCTGGAGTGGTTCTTGGGTCCTCAATTGCATCTAGAATTGTTACCAGGGAGTCCTGGGGTATAGATGGGGTTCTGGTACACATGTGCTTGAAATATGTTTAGGAATTCTGAAGTATATCTACGGTCCAGAGGTATGTTTAGGAGTTCTGAAATATGTCTAGGGGTGCTGAAATGTGTCTAGGGGTGCTGAAATATGTCTAAGGGGGGTCATGAAATATGTCTAGGGGGTCGTTAAATATATCTAGGGGTCCTGAAATATGTCTAGGGGTGCTAAGATATGTCTAGGGGTCGTAAAATATGTGTAGGGGTCCAAAGGCTTCTGAGAAGTACCTAGTTAGATTTCATGAAGGTACAACTCAACACCTTGGGGGAGTTTAGTTGTCCCTGGAGTAATGTAAGTAATACCTAAAGCCCTCAGTGATGGTAGGATTCCCAGTCTCTTAGTAAACTGATTCAAGACTGGAGATGGGACCTCCAGCCATCTCATATCCTGTCAGTCTCTTCTCTCGCGGGGGAACAAATATTCTTCTCAAGGGAAGATTGGAGTGAAGTGAAATAGACCTGTTGTTAGTGGGAGAGTAAGATAGTAGCCCCCCTGGTGTTAGTGGGAGAGTAAGATAGTAGCCCCTGGTGTTAATGGGAGAGTAAGATAGTAGCCCCTGGTGTTAGTGGGAGAGTAAGATAGTAGCCCCTGGTGTTAGTGGGAGAGTAAGATAGTACTGGTGTTAGTA